CCCTTATTCACGCCGATCAAAGAAACTGCGACAATTCGGTACGTGCAGGCCCGTGCACGTGGCGACACAGGCTGGCTTCCCGCTCTAGCTGTGGGTTCCCACGATGTGTTGCCAAGGGCAGCGGCACGTACACAGACCTACCGGCGGATCCCACCCACCGGGCGGCGGTAAGATTTTCAAAGACTACATTTTTAACTCCGCCCCTATCATTGTTGTGTGCCGAACAGTCGAGTACATCTAACTTGCATTTTCACGTCGTACTGACTGGTATAGCCCGCTACAAAGTAATTTCCTGTTGCATTAAACAAGATTTAAAAAGATTTGTGATACGAAATGAAATATTGATAACAATTTATGTTAACTGAACCTTTGTAACGGCATGGAGATAATCTTTGTTGAAGATTTCTGAGTTCAACGCAAGCCGGAAGTGCAATAGAAGTAGAGCTGACCATCAGTCGAGGTGCAGCTATTATGTTATCACCTGTTACGTTACGACGATCAAGAACGTTCACGGCTTGTGGACCATTTCAAATATTACCACTCATAAACCCTCTTATAATTTCATATGTACTTACGTGGGGTTTAATATTATTTAAATTTTAGGCCGGAGTTCCACGAGATCGGCGCCGGCTGGCTGGGGAACGATCCCGTCGGCATGATGGAGCGACGGGCGTCGTCAAAACGATACAAAAATGTTTACAAGCACAACGCAAGGACAGACAGATTTCTACACCAGCGCTCTTTGTGCGATCCCCAACCCACAGACTCTGGGAAACGCAAATTACTCTCATGATAGACAAGGTGCTCCAAGCGAGTATGCAAACATTGGGTCAAAATATAGCCAAACATTGGGTTGACTTTATTTGGAAAACACTCGGTTCCGACACCCTTCTGAACAGCCAAATCGTGAGAAGCGATTTCTACCGAAAATGACCGAAGTAAAACATGACGTAATGCTTGCAACAGCATGCGGTTGCTGATTGGTCAAATGTTTGTCAGAGTATTATGGGTTGCCGGTTGCTTGCAGGACCCGGAAGTTCCCAAGGATAGGGACTCAGAACTTTTTTTCCAATCGTCCCGAAACGTAACCAAATCTACTTTCATTTCGACATCGGGACAGTGGTAACGAACACCTAATTTCTTTTTTCCTGCGAAACACCTTCGCTGACTCACTGCGCTCAGACAGGCAAAGATGCTTATCTAACGTATACTAAGTAGCCTCCTTGGACAGGCGAAAAAGTAGGTCAATGGCTTGAACTTTTCACCCTTTTCACCCGATCTGTTTGCTGTGTCAGGGAACAGTTTTCTCATCTCAATATTACAATTAAAATAGTTAATGACATTATGTATTCACCAATGATGGTCCCAGACTATAGAACGCCCCTTAGCAACAATGTCAAAATGTTGATAGATGTAAGTTCCGACTTTAAAACGACCCAACTGGCGGCTGGAGTTTCAGTACGGGGCTGCGGAACACCAGTTGCTACAACCCTCCGCGGCCCCACAGCTTTTGGTTCCCGCAGGAGCGCGCCGGGCACTTCCCACCGGCCGGAGCGCCGGGCACAATCTCCACTGGCCGGCGGCGCAGCACCGAGGAATTTACCGGGGAGCTCCGCTGGTATGGTCACCAGACTAGACAGGGGAAGCCCGCCGCGGCAGCCGGCTTGGTCAGCGTGGATTTGTACTTGGAACAAAATAGGCAAGGTCTAAACTTTTCTAAAATCTAAAGCCTGGATACCGATACCCCCAGCCGTAGAGGTATAGAGGAACCTACGAAGGACAGGTTGAAGAAAGGTATGTTAACATTACTTTTAATGTTACTTCCTAATGTTGTAATGTGCCATAATCGTATCAGTCTAAATTTTGCAATCACAGCCGTGTTTTTGCAGTACCACATGTCTGTTAGTTATTGTACTGTACACTGAGGATCTTTTTGGATCGTAATATCCTCAAACTGGGCGGGCTGAGCACTCATCACTGTATACGTAGAGAAATTATCGGGAAGTTTGCCATTGTCTGGCTACCAGGCTACTAGTATTTTGGCCGACAATCGCCCGTTTGTTTGTATTTCATGACAGTTCCTTCACCCAGTCGCTATTTTCTTGTGTACGAGACTAGTATGTACTTTGTGTTCTGTATATGTATGTGTAGTAAACTTTCCTCCATTTCTGCTCGAAATTCTTTGTATCTTTCAAGCAGACTTTTTCGAGATTTCTACAATTTTTTCTATGTTATTCTGGTGTTCTTGGATCTCGCTGTGTTGTCGTCCCCCGGGTATTTCCTTATTGTGGATCTGAATGGGTCATCACTATATGTGTGACGCTATTTACGTACAGTTTCCGACAAAGATTCAGACCTATAATGCCAAAGAAGAACAGTTCTACTAACCTTGGAAAAACTGAGCCTCAGAGTAGAGAACTAGAATAAATTTTTCGCCTTCGATGAGGCGCGCCTGTTATAACTCGCAGTGGTTTGGGGAAATTTTGGTGAGTTCGCTTTTACGATAAGAATTACAAATTATTGTTTACGGATTCGATGCCCGCGCAGAATATCGATCATAGTCAGCGTAACTTGAACGTTTTATTTGTGTGATGTTCGCAAAGTACTCTTTGTGTCTTCAAAGTTCCGGTGTCAGAATTTGGGTGTTGTTATATCGATACATCATTGTTGATCACTGAGTTAGAGAAAGTTTAAAGTTGCTTGTTGGCTGGTTACAACACGCGTGGAGAGAAGCTGGAATTAGTTTACGCATTGAAAATGTGTGCCACATGGTTACCGCATTCTCCCACGGCAGAGCTATCCCGCGGCAAATACGCCTTGGGATTACTAGTAAGGAAGCACCCCTGGCGTGCCGGAGGATGGGTTACCGCCACATGACGTCAAGTTCCATCGGGATCAAGTTTGTCGGCCCTACTTGATATTCTCCCCTTTCCGACAAAACCTTTCTGTTCAGATTAGTGGCTTAGGGATATTTTGCAGGCCCAACCATACTCTGCTGAAATGCCAGATCTTTCCAGCTGGCCTTTCTAATCATTGTCGTCCTGTAACTGACCCGGTAAAATACCCCTGCATGAAATACCTCTGGGCGGGCGGGCAGTGCTGATAGCACCACCGTGAGATACCGGAAGCATGCGATGGTCTGGCTGCCAGGCTATGTTAAAGTAATTTAGCATTCTTGGAGTTTATATTCGTCTGTTAGTATAATACCTGATGAATTTATTTT